TCAGTGTTCCTTCTTACATATATTTTAAAATTTATTTTCTTTTGACATTGTTATTATAAAAGTAATGAGTTTTGGTATGGCATTTTCATAAATAATATGTCATGTTTTGTCATACTCCTCTGCTATCCTCACCCATGTTCTTGTCATTTGGCTTTTTCCCTTACTCAGGCCTCCCTCCCCTGTGGTCCCTTCTTTGTTTTCATCTCAAAAATAACTGTTAACCTCTTTTCCCCCAACCCTGTATTAAGAAAATGGGGAAATAGAGGGAGAGTAAAGTTAAATATAAAAAAGGATAATAACAAGGGTAGGAGAATATTACGGATGAGGAAGATTGTATTTTTTTAAAAAGCTAAAACAAAATAAAAGTTCTCAATAACAGACTGAAAAGAAAAAAATACTGCTCAGTAATGAAAACAGTATAAACAGAATCAGATGATGTATGAAGGGAAACTAAAAAAAACTTGAAAATATTTTAAAACACCGTGAAGCAGAAATACATCTAAAAGTGTAATGATAAAAACAAAAAAGATGTGGCTGTGCTTGGTGGCATGGACCTTTAATCTTAGCACACAGGAATCAGGACCAGCTGGGTCTATCTGCATTCTAGGCCAGCCTGGTCTGTGGAGTAAGAACAGGATGAGGTTTTTTTGAGCAGGCTCTTCTTGGGTGCTTAGGTTGGAGATGGCCAGTTATCTAATATGAAGGTTGGGAGTGTCAGTTGAACTGGTACTGTATCTGTGTTAGACAGGTATCTAATGTCCACCTGACCTGTCTGTATCTTGGTAGCTCTCCTTGACTTACCAGGGGTGGCCAGACTGAGCTTTGCAGTCTGAGGGCTGACCTGGCTCTCTCACCCTCCTGACACTCCCTAGATCATTACTGCTGATGTGGCTATTGTTTTATCTGGCAGATATTTTCCAAACCTATCAGGACTGTGCAAAAGGGACCAAGTCCTGAGGCAGATCTGCCTTCATCGTTTTTCAAGAACTCCTGAGTGTTAATTATTATTAGTCTTTGTAGCAGTTAGGTTTAGATGCATGGCTACAGGGGTTGATCCTCACTGTCAGGCCTCTCCAACTCTAGAGTTTCCTGAGAGTTGGTAAGAGCTGTTGTTAACCACCAAGGGCAGGATATCTTTGATGACTCATCTCCTGTCTTTCAGTTTGTCACTGTCTACTTTTCCTGACTTCCACAACAGTTTCCCTGAATCTTTCCTTCCTCAACCTCGATCTCAGGCTTCCATTGTAGCTCAGTTTTTAGTGGCAGACTTTCCTCCAAGGTGATACCCAGTTGCTGTCCATCACATTGAATGAAACATGAGATTTCTATCCACTGGAGTAATCACTACCTCACCAAAACCAGCCACTGCGTTTGATGTGAGGATAAGGCTTTAGACTCTTAAGTATAGAATCTCATCTTTCTTGTTCCCATTCTTCACACGGATGTCCTTCATATATCTTAAATATATACCATGTTGATGCTGAACCTTTTCTCCATTGATACAGCATTGTTATTTAATACCCTATATGATTTTAACATTCTCCTTTTATTAGTGTATGTTATCTTACTCTTTGATTTATTGTTAATGTCAATACCATTTGCAGTCATACAGTTAAGCTTAATGAAAGCTTTGATCTGTTTAAAGAGTAAGTTTTAGTCAGTTTTCAACTCATCTTCCACAGTTGCATAAAATACATGTGTAAAGAATTGATTGAAGCTGTACCGCAGTGGTGGTACACTTTTCAAGGACTCAGTTTAATGCCTAGTGAGCAACAGTTAATAAATAAACACATTTGTAGTGCATTTATTATTCTTTTTTTGATGTATGAGTGTTTCTACCTGCTTGTATGTATGTGCCCAGGTGTGTGCCTGGTGCATGGAGGTCAGAAGGTGTTAGATCCCTTAGAACTAGAGGTAGAGACAGTGTGACCCACTATGTGGGTACTGGGAACCAAACCTTGTCCTTTACAAGAGTAACAAGTGCTCTTAACTGCTGGGTCATCTCTCTAGGCACGTGTCCCCGTATCCAGTCCCATCCCATCCTGTCCAGTCCCGTGTGTGTTGTGGTCCCTCCCCCCAGCTTTATTTTGTTTTTCTTTCCAGATAGGGTTTCATATATCCTGAGCTGGCTTCAAACTTAGTATATAGCTAGGGAAGACCTTGAGCTCATTTTCTGTCTTCTACATGTTGAGATTACACAGATCACATGTGTGTCATCTCACATGGTTTTATTATTTAAAAAAAAAAACACGTTTTTGGAGCTGGAGAGATAGTTCAGTGGTTAAGAGCATTGGTTGAGCGTCCAGATGATCTGGGTGAGTCCCAGTGGCCACATGGTACCTAACAACTTCCTGTAACTCTAGTTGCAGGGAACGGCACTCTTTTCTAGCTTCTGTTGACACTGCATGAATACAGCATATAAACATACGTGTAGGCAACACTCATGCATGTTTAAAAATGTCTCAATATTTAATGTTCCTTTCTAGTTAATTGTTTTCTGTGTTTGTATTTCTAACAGTCATTTAAGAAGAACCTAGTTGTTTTTTTCTTTCAAATTTCCTTAAAAGTTGCTGATCAAAAGTAATAAAGCATGGGGTACAGTTTGCTTAGTGATACTTAGTGTTCTGTTTGAAATTCTGAGGAGACTTCTATAGGAGCAAGGATATGGCTTTGAGTAGTAAAAGATTTCCTTAAGTAGTGATTAAAAGTTCTCTTCTGTTATTTGATAGGAGAAAAGAAAGGTTACTTGGAATACTAAATACATATGGGGAAGTATACATTAGTTCTATTATTGGCACTCATTTGAATAGGGAAGAATAATAACAATGTAAGTTGGTATAATTTTTGAATAATAAGCTCAGGAATACAGTAGAACTTATTAGATTTAATTTGTGAGAAGTAGCTGGAGGGAACACAAATTGCCATTATTATTTTGTTAAAGCTGGCATATTTATCAAAAAGCTAGAAGTGTTTATAGTTTAACATGAGAAATAATTGTAATGGCATGTAAAGCAGACTTACTCAGAATCATATGAACAAAGTAAATCATACCCATATTTGGAAGTAGAGTTATACATATTTTGCTTTTGTCTTGTTATATGTATGTTAGCGTAAAATTCCGTTTTTTGATAAATACAAGTCAGAACCAGATACAGCTATTCAATTGTCTCTTACTATTTTGGAGGAGTTGATTCCAGGTGCTTTGTGGATAACCAGGCTCTGTGGTTGTTCAAGTTGCTTATATAAAATTGCATATAATTTGTACATAAACTGTATGTCTTCTTCTATGTACGTTACATCATCTTTGCATTACTTAACATTAGCTAATGCAATGCAAGCGCCTTATAAATTGGTGTTTATGGAAAGAGGCTATATATGTTTTGTATACATGTGTTTTTCCTGAATACACTTGTTTATTGAAATAGATAATGGAAAGTGGTGACATTGCTTTGCCTTCAGTTTTGGAAATGAAGCTAAATGATTGGAGTGAATAAATCAACTCAATTTCTGGAATTGAATTAATTAAATTCTGGAATTAAACAAATGTTTATGTTTAGCAAGCACTTGTGCTAGGTGGTGGGATAGACTTTGTTTCCTGAAGTCAAAGAGTGCTGTTCTTACTTCACTTACCACAGATAAGCAAAATGGATTCTTATCCCTGTTACTACTCTTCTTGATCTATTCTTTCTAATCTTTCTCTTCTGCTCTAGGAACAAGTTACTGATTTTATTACCAACTTTGAATTGATTTCCTGTTTTCCTGCCTCATTTACACTGATGATAAAACACTATTTGAAAAATACATCTAGTCCTGGTACTCTGCTACTTGATGTCTATTATAGTTTATCATGTTTCTTCATTTTTACATCATTACTTCATATTCTAAATTAGTGTCTAGGATGCTTGCTACTTGGTAACTTTTCTACTTTGCCTTAGGACTCAACCACTAGTTTGTATATAAGTGGGCAATGCTTTAGGTAGTGTTAGCAGAGTGTAAATTAATATGCATCATCTAACTTCCACTGCTGTGTATGTAATTATGTACATGTCATATCTGTATTAATATGAAGCAGAAAACTTGTGTCTGATATTTGACTTTGTAGGTTCTCTTCAGATCTAAAGGTTTGGGTATTTTTTTGTTGTTGTTCCTTCTTATTTGCATTAGATTAGAATATCTTAGAAGAATGGTCACATGAAACCTTGGTAAAAGTAGATCACGCAAAACATTCAGTAATTTTAAGAGTGTCAGTTTTCTATTTTAACTTATAAGTGTGACAGAAATACTGATAAGTTTTGAAGGATTAATGACATGGTTTATACTGCTTTAGATACTTGAGATTTTCATATTAAAATATAAAAATAGAACCTAGAAATTCTCATCTCTGTTTTGGAATGTGAAACTGTAGTATTTATTTACAGATAAAGAACCAATGGGGAGCACTTTCGTTTAAGAAAACAAGTCTTAAAAATTTAAGCTACATAAAATAATTTCTGTGTGTTTATTGGCTTCATAGAGACAACCCTTTTTTTCTGAACAATGATTTTAGCCAATGTTGTATACTTTTAGCTGAAGGTCAGTGATAGTTAACTTGTTTGTTATACTTTCAGTTTTCTAGAAGTTTCCCCAAATTACCATACTTTTAGTTTTGTATACCAAAATGACATATATGATATTAGGACCCAGTATATTTGTTTTGCAATTAGACTTTATATTATATCTGCAGAAATTCAATTCCTTTGTAAAACTGGAGGTAGAGATAATTGTAGATGGTAGGTGGAGACCATTGATGCATGTTAATACATATATCTTCTTTTGTTTGCTTATGGTTACACAGATTTTAATTATTGAATGATTTAATAAAATAAAGAATTTAGGAAGGTTTAATTTTTTCTTTTTTAATGCCTAAAATTGTGATACGTGGACATAACTTTTTAAAATATTACATTGGTATTATTACTTATAGGATTAATTCTTATCAATGTGCCTATTGAAATTTGCAGGGCTCTGATGATTGTCTTGTGAAGATCTGGGCCACAGACGATGGGAGATTGCTGGCTACTCTAAGAGGACATGCTGCTGAGATATCAGACATGGCTGTCAACTATGAGAACACTATGATAGCAGCTGGGAGTTGTGATAAAATGATTCGTGTCTGGTGTCTTCGGACTTGTGCACCTTTGGCTGTTCTTCAAGGACACAGTGCATCCATTACATCACTACAGGTAATTGTTTTAAGCCCTATTAAATCTTTTTTGTTTTAATTAAGACTTACACAAGCTTTTATGAAGTCATTTTAATGATGTTGTAGTATTTAAGGTTTGAAACAGAAAGTAATCCTGCATTATGAAATGTATGGACTTGTAATGTCATAGCAATCGTGGATTTGATCAATTCTGTATTTCTGGTTACTGTTAGTTGTATTAATTTGGTTTTTAAAGGAGAGTTTCATTATTTGGACTGTCTTTGTTCTTGTAAAGACTGTTTCCCCTATGATTGCTTTTCAGTTCTCACCATTGTGCAGTGGCTCAAAGAGATACCTGTCTTCTACTGGGGCGGATGGCACTATTTGCTTTTGGCTTTGGGACGCTGGAACTCTTAAAATAAAGTTAGTTGCTATTTTATTCCATAAAATAAGTGTTTAATGATTGAAAGTTTAAAAGATAATTGGCAAAGGGAATATATTTACTTCTTTCCTTGAGTAAATAACAGAAATGAGGTTTGATTTTCACTAATCTTTTATTTTTATGCCTCACCATTTTTTTTTCATACTTGAGTTTTTTTTCCCCTCATACTTACTGATTTTATTTATCGTAGTCTTGAGCCCAATTGTTTCCTTAAGGAATATATGTTTTATTGCCATGTCTTTTTGTGTGCTGCATAATTTTATTGCACAGTTTAATTTTGTGCTGAGAACATATTATTGCTAATGCTACTTTTTAGAATAATTTAAATTACATTACTGTGTCTGTAAACATTAGATTTTATTTTAGATTTAGGAAACAGTTGAAGTTTCATTATGCCACATAAAGGTAGATGCACATATTCCATAATAGCACTTCAAAGTTTTGCTTTTACTCTGTTACAGTTTTGGTTTATAGATGTGGAAAGATGGTTCAGCAATTGGAAACTCTTGTAACTCCAGTTCCAGAGAATCCAATGCCCAATTCTAACCTTCACAAACATCAGGGACACATATGACATAGTGAACATACATACTTAACAGGCAGAACACTCATGTAAAGAAAATAAATACATCTAAAGTTTTTCTTAAAGAATTGGTTTATCAAACCAGAGTGACAGAACAGTTAATCTTTTGATTAAGGACACTGGGGTAAATAAACAAGGTAAAATGGTTTTCCCATAGCTGAAACTGTTGGTTCTAGGTAGTGTACCAGTCTTTTGAAATAGGTTCTTACTTTGTAACCCATGATGACCTGAATTCATTATGGAGCCCAGACTGGCCTCAGCTTTGAGTAATCATCCTGCTTCAAGCCTCCGAAGGACTGGAATTACAGATCATTTCTTTGTATTATCTTTCTTAAGTAATCACAAACAAAACTGCTCTAATTTTAGTGCTATGTATTATTAAAGTTAATGTGCTTTGACAACCCTAATTTTTTTCTTCTATGATCATAATCGTTAAAAATAGGGTTTAAAAACAAAATTAATATCATAGCATTATATGCACATTGTTACATTCATTCATACTTAAAATCTCTTATTTGATTTTTTTCAACAGTTATATATAACATTAAACATAAAATACTAATCTCAGACATCTATAGTATAGCTATAACTAATAAATATAGTTGAATATGATCTATTTTATGTGGCTCATACTATTTGGAGAAATCTTATTGTTGCTATGAGTCACATTGCCTTCAGATTTACTTTAGTATAGGGATAAATTCTTGTGTTTTGAAAGAATACTTTGTCATGTTACATTAGAAGGTAAACAAAAGCTGGAGGATGGCCCAGTTGGTAAAGTGCTTGCTATGCAGACGTGAGAACCTTACTTTGGAGCCTTGTCTTCCTGTAAAAAGTTGGACATAGGCGCACACCTGGGAATAGTGGTGGGGCAGAGATAGGTGGATTCCTACAGCTTGCTGGCTATCTATGTTAGCCAACCTGAGATCTTATGTACTAATAGACCTTGCCTCAAAAATGAGGTGGAGTCATTGTTAACGACACATGTTGTCAGCTTCTGGCTTCCACATACATACATTCATGGGTTGTGTGCATGTTCATAGCTCCCATCCCCAAAGGTACCACGTATCTTGACAATCCATTCATTTTTACAGTTAATTTATTTCCATACACATTTGTATGTTGCTGTCTACTATATGAAGTTTGTTAGAGTTGATTAAAAGTGGATATAATTCACTTCTAGAAAGATAGTGACTTTAGGATTGTTACATGTACTAATTGACATATGTATCAGAATGTAATACGGATTTTATCTCTAGAATTTTACAGGTCTGCTATTATTGTTTCGATTTTGATGTTGTTTTTAGGAAGATAGCCAGCTGTTAATTTTTTTCAAAGATCAATTTTCATAGAATTTTTTAAATGATTTTTTTCTTTTTTAATTAAAGTCCAAGACCTACAAAATTTACAGAGCGCCCTCGGCCTGGAGTTCAGATGATCTGTTCTTCATTCAGTGCTGGTAAGATTGTTTACCCTTTTCATTTTTCAAATTAAAATTGTGCATTAGGAAGCACCTCTCAAAGATAAAATTATGAAAACATTTTCTGCTGCAGTATATATCATATTCCCATACATATACAAGTACTAATAAGCAAAAAAGAATGAAAGTCAAATTAGATACTTTGATTTTGATATTTTGAATTGAACTTTGCTGGAATTTAGTGCATATGATTACATGATTGCCATGCTTCTCTAGAAGGAAGGAATAATTGTTTCAAAACTGACTGATTAAACAATGAACTTTAGACTATCTCGCTGTCTATAAAATATTTTAAAACTTGTTTGTTTTCATGGATTTTGGAGCTGTTCCATAAAATCAGTAAAAATTTTAAAAAATGATGCATATATGTATTAATTTTGTTCCAGAAGCTTGTTCTAATTCTAATTAAGCTTCTACAGTAGCATTTTAAATGGTTGCCAAAAGGTTTTATGACCTCAGTATTTAAAGTGAATTGACAAAGAAAATTAAGGTGAATAGATTCGTATGTAGTGTTCCCAGTATCTCTTCCTCCCACTATTTTTATGTACCTTTGTTCATTTGATAATTGTAGATAGCAATACTGAGTGAGGGTAAAGACAGCAAACACCAGTGTATCTGCTGCTGCCATCAAGACAGGTGTTTATTCTAGTTTGAACACAAACATAGGCTTTTCATATATATTCTGTTCGTGCTCTTTTTCTAAAGATGCATTGTTGTTTGTAAGTGTCCAGTAAGTGGATCATTCTTTAAAGGCCCTTAAAGTGTTTAAGTGGGTATAACAACTTGATGCTGTGTGAGAGCATTTCTCAAGATGAATAAAATTGTCATATAAATAGTGATTTTTTTTTTTTTAGTAAAACATATGCTATAGTACACTGACATAAATGCACTTTGAGAGCAGGTTTGTATTACTGCAGAGTTTCTGCGGGCATGTTACTGTGGGAGTTGCAAAAGTAGTATAGGTCTTTGATAGGTAGGTAAGAAGACATCAAAAGAAGACGCAGCAAAGTTAATGGTATCATGTAGAAGTTGTGTTTTACTTGTAAAAGTATACTGTTGTTTTTCATAGGTGGAATGTTCTTGGCCACTGGAAGCACTGACCATATTATTAGAGTTTATTTTTTTGGATCTGGTCAGCCAGAGAAAATATCAGAATTGGAGTTTCATACTGTGAGTATTGGTGAAGGGTCTAGATGGGTACAGTCTTAAGTGAATCAAGATTATATTCAGCTTTTGCTTTATTTTTTTCTGTTTGTACAGGACAAAGTTGATAGTATCCAGTTTTCCAACACTAGTAACAGGTAAAATATGTTTGTCTTATTTAATTGCAACTTTAAAATTAGAAGATAAAGATAATTTGCAGTCGTTAGATTTTTAAGTTGTATAGAAGTTATTAATTCTTGAAGATAATAAAATATAGCCTTTTTACCCAATTTCCGTATGTGTTAGGTATTTTGATACTTATCAAATAATGGGAGGGTTTTTGTTGTTGTTGTTGTTGTTTGTTTTTTGTCCATACCTTATTCTTTCCTATCAGAAGAGAAACCTTTAATAAAAAACTGGAAATTTATCACATTACATTTGAGACATTGCTAGATGTTAAACAATGGTTTTCTGTAAATATTCTCTTGCTCTGGATTTAAAAGAAATTAAGTTTCTTGGCACCTTGAGTTAACAAATCCAAGTCTTTGATAATAAGGAGCAGTTCTTTTCCATTAGAAAATATTAATTCTGTTTATTGAGTAGTCTTGAATCATTTTAGTGTTCTTTTTATTAGCTTGTTCATGACTTAGTAAAATAATCTTACAAGCTTATAAAGTTTTGGGAGTTCTTAGATTTGTAGAGACAGAGATTACCATTTCTATTATATTGGAATATTTTGTAACGAAAGATGTTCTTTAAAAGGGAGATTTTTGAGAAAATTACATTTTAATAAATACTCTGTGATCCTTCCCTGTCTGGTGGGATCGGACTTTATTATTCATTCATTCATTCATTCATTTTATAGGTTTGTAAGTGGTAGCCGTGATGGGACAGCACGGATTTGGCAATTTAAACGAAGAGAATGGAAAAGCATTTTGTTAGATATGGCTACTCGTCCAGCAGGGTAAGAGACAAAACTTGATTTATTTATCTAGATTATTTAATAAAATAAATTATAATGTTGCAGGTTGGAATAACCTTTGTCTATAAAGTTGTATACCATGTTAAGATGATCTATAATTAGAGGTACTATCGGAGATGAACAGTGCTGATTTTTGTGAACTATCTCATTGCCCTGAATATTAAAACCTGCTGAATTAATTTTGTTGTTTAGTTTTATTAAGTGGATGCAAATGTTTGCAACCCAAGTGTCTTATGGTTCATATCTGGTTTTTGTTTGTTTATGAGACTTGATCTCATATCTCAGTTGGTTTGAACTTACTTTGTAGTCAGAGATGGCATTGGATTCCTGATCTACCCACTTCCTTCACTCTACCTGATGTTGCTATAATTACAGCCAGGTGGCACCAAGACTTCCTGAATATTATTAAACAAGTACCCTACCACCTAAGACCCTCCAAAGAAAGACTTTTTATCCCAGTGGCTTTCTCCAGCCAAGAGAAAGAATAATACATGTTGTAACAGTTTTAGTTTTACTGTTTGATCATTTCTCTCTACTCCTGTTTATGTATAGTTGTCTTAGTGAATGTGTGAGAGAGAACAGAGCAGTTAGGATAGCATGGTAGCCACAGTAAAAGGTGGGGCAGTGAGCAGCATGGCATAATGCTGCTGGACCACAGGTAGTTACAGCAGTGGGATTTCCTCGGGGTCGCTGCTCCTAATGGCTTATGGATGCTATAATCTTGTACATCTTGGATTTCCTGATCCATACGATAACCTCTGCCATTTTATCTGTTTAACTCTTTTCATTATTTATAATAACTATTTGTGTTAATAACTATAAACTCTATGAAAACACATTTTATCTTTGTCTTGTATTTTTGTAACATCAGTGTAAACAATAAACTTTTACTTTTTAGCCAAAATCTTCAAGGAATAGAAGACAAAATTACAAAAATGAAAGTAACAATGGTAGCTTGGGATCGTCATGACAATACAGTTATAACTGCGGTTAATAACATGACCCTGAAAGTTTGGAATTCTTATACTGGTCAACTGATTCATGTCCTCATGGTGAGAAATAAACCCCACACTTTTAATATTACTGAGACTGATTTTAGAATGTAGTGTAAATAAATAAAATAAATCTGATGTGTTGTCTAAAACCTTTTGATAGGTAACTGGGAATAATAAAAAATGTAAGCAGGATTGACTTGGAAATGTATTGTAAATGCTGGATGTGTTTGTTATCAGGAATGCATTGTATTCTTGAGTATTTGCTAATACCTAAGATATGGGCAGTGATGTTATATTAGCACAGTCTATTATTTTTTAGGCATTGGTAAAGTTGAAATTTTTGCTCGTTTAATAATGATTTGTAGAACCATTGTCATTGTCTTATATAATTTTAAGCATTTGTAACTGCTTTGCTACTTCAAAATATTTCAGGGTCATGAAGATGAGGTGTTTGTTCTTGAACCACACCCATTTGATCCTAGAGTTCTCTTTTCTGCTGGTCATGATGGAAACGTGATAGTGTGGGATCTAGCAAGAGGAGTTAAAGTCCGATCTTATTTCAATATGGTAATTATATTTCTTGTTTAATACATGTTAAAGATGTGCAGGATTTTTGATAGAGGTGTTCTACATATCACAAGTGAAATCCATTTTAAAACTCATGCCTTATTTTGACTTTAAATGTCTATAAATAAGGAATTATTCATTTCATATATTTATTTAGATGCTAAACTTGAAATTAGTTGTTCATTTATATATAATGCCTGTGTATTGTGATAACTGGCCTAGTTTTTACTTTATCATTGAAACTTTGATCAGTAAGTCATATAAATGAAGATATAGGGGAGAAAATGTGTTTGAAAAACCATTGTGGATAAACTATAAATAAATCTTCATGTTGCATTTTGATTGGCTTTTTTTTTTAAACACAATTTGATTTCAGTAAACCAATTTTAAAATTGAAACCAAAGAATTATGTAGTGCCTAATTTTGTTCAAATTGTTAGTGTGCTAGATGCCAGATGTTTATTTTGGCTCCATGTTTTTTGCCTCCAAACTGTGTTCTTATGTTACATTTAGCATATTTTTCTTGAACGTTTAAATTGTCATTAGTTTGACTACATACATAGCTTGCTAACCAGTACTGCTCCGTCTTTCACCAGTATTTGAAATGAAAGGAGTCCTTAAATACTGCACCTTACTTACAGTCACATAAAAATTACTTCCTCTATTTGAAGTTTCAGCCAACAAGAAGAAACAGCTTTCTGCTATTTTTACATGTTTAGATTTTTTAAAGAGAATACTTTATTAGTTTTTCTTTTATAAGCCATAAGATGATATTATTAGCAAAATAACAAAAATCAGGATTACTTTGTAAGATAAATTTCAATCATTTTCAAGCTGGGAATATAGCTGATGGTAGTATTTGCGTAGCATGTTCAAGGCCTGTAGTTTTTGATTCATTGAGGCCACACGTGCATGCATACCCCACTGTTATTTGTAAGGTATTTTACTTGTGAATGAATGACAGTGAGTACTATCCTTGATAGATTATAAGGATAAAAAGTTTTATTAGTAAAGTGACTAACTTTGGCCTTCATTATGGATGTGTACAAAAGGTAAGAATTGTACAATTCCCATTTTCATAAAAAAAGATTATTTTAGTTAGTTGTTAGTGATGAATGGATTTCCTTTGTGATTATGTACTTTTTTTTCCTCTTTAAGTAAATTCATAAATGGGGTAAGCAGTTTTTCTTTTTTCTGCCTTCATATTTCTGGATTGCTCCTTTCCTAAACATCTCTATTGAATAAAGACTTTGGTCATTTCTCAGTTGGTCCTTAATTGTGACTGTATTCAAATTACTGGTTCCACTTAGTAATTTACATTTCCAAAGAGCATTCTTACACTGCTATAGAAATGAGTAATTTTCAGTCAATTAAACACTGATTCTGAATTTTCCCTCAACAGGTAAGTTTGGAACATCAACATTTCAGCAGACATAAAAATGGCTGCACTTTTAGATATATTGATTTTTCTGGTCATACTGTTACAAATTAGTTTCATAACCAGGAACCTAGTTTCAAAAACTCGTTAATTACTAAAATTTATTTTTGAATATGTGTGTGGTAGCCCATACATGTAATTGTAACACTTAAACTGGAATCAGGATGATCAAGGGTTCAAGGCCATTTTTAGCTACATAGTGAATTCCAGGCCAACCTGAACTATTGAGACCACATTTGTTTAAGAAAAGAAGGAAAGAAAAGGAAATAATTTTATTTGGTTAGAGTGTCTGCTAAGGAGATTTTTGTTGTTTGTTCTTCTTTCTGTGTGCAATAGAAAGTAAATCATAAAGGCTGGTTTAAATTTTTCTGTAATTATTAGTATCTTCAACGGAGGAAAAACAAAGTAAAAAAAATTACCCTTTTTACAAAGAGTCACAGAGCAAGCGCTACGTTTTGTCTCATTAAAAACAAGTTATTATCTTTTTAAAAAATGATTTGTAGTGGTTTCTAACTTTTAAGTGATTTTTTTTTCAATAGATGACAGTTTACTTATCCAAACTCTACAAAATTGTAGCATTATGAAAACCTTTTATGAAAAGGGTAATTTTTATTTCTGGTTTCATGGAGAAATGTTCAATAGAAAACTTTGCCCAAGTTTGATTTAATCACACATTTAGTATAAAATTTTCAGGTTTTATAAGACTATTACTAATATGTTCTTATTGCCAAATATATTCAGGGCAGTAGCTGAGAAATTTTCAGTATTATTGTGTAACAACTACTAGTTAAATCCAGCTAGTGATGTGTCTACAAGTAATAATTTAACAGTAATAAAATTCTGAGTGGCTCTTCTGTAATCTTTATTCCATAATCTTTGTCAATTATGCGACTGCCATACTTTTTGTTCTTTTCACTTCATTGTCTGTCTCGCTCTCTCTCTGTCTCTGTCTCTCTCTCTCTCTCTCTCCGTCTCCCTCCCCCTCCCTCTCTCTCTCTCTCTCTCTCTCCCCTCCTCCCCTCCCCTCCCCCTCCCTCCCTCCCTCCCTCCCTCCCTCCCTCCCTCCCTCCCTCCCTCCCTCCTTTCTATTGTGGGAGTAAGGCCCGAAAAGCATCCAGCACTGCAACTAAGAAATTAAAAACAGCTTTGGATGAAATAGAATCTGATGGTTCACTCATACCATTGCTGAGTTGTGGCCTCTGCTTAGCTATTTGGCTTTATTAAATACCACAAAGCCTTGATGAGTTTAAATGCAATCTGTCGTGTTATGTTGTACTTACCTTCCTAAATGAATCACAGTTGAATTTAATGAATATTTGTGAGCATTATTTATCATGTCTAGTCATCCTTTGTAGAATTGGAGAATGAATAATTCTCAAAGAGTACTTCAATTTAGTCTTAGAAATGGTGAATGCTTATATAGGAAGTATTATTTTGAAGAATTTTAAAAATTGAAGCTTATGAAATGTAAGTAAATTCACCATTGGACCAGCAGCCAGAAAATAAGGAAAGAAAGCTATGACTTTAAAAGAATGTATTTTAAAAATATATACAAGTACTTAAAAGTAAATGTTTAGGGTTGGGAATATAGCTCAAATACCGAAGTTAATGTTTACCTAACATGCACAAGGTACTTGGCTCAATTGTGGCACTACAACCCATTATTATTAAGTATATTTTTAGAATATTGCTTCAACATTCGTCTCTGCTTTTCAAATAATAGGACTCATGTCTAAATATATATATATTATGGTTTTGAAAGACAATAAAATTAATCTGAAAAGTAATTCAATGTTATGGATAACTCATCATTTTCTATATTTTACCAATTAGAGGTTTGTTTTTAAAGTCTTCTGAAATACTTAAAATCCTGTATTATTAAAGTTTTTCAAGTAAAAAGCTGAATTTTTAAATAAAACAAATAAACACCAATAGCATTCAAGCAAGCATTCTTTCTATTAAACTAAGACTTTTAAAAGTTCCTCCTTTATTTTAGGACTAGTTTAAATTAGTAAATAAAACAAAAGCTTTGGGATTGAGAGTTCGTGTAGTTTCTTTTATGCTTAAATGATTTCTAGTTGATTTCACTATATCATTTAACTGAATTCTCAGCATGCTTAAGTGATATGCTTGGTAAAGGGCTAAATCACATTCCTCTCTACTCCCATTCTGTTGTCTCATTGCATTTGTGGAAAACAACCTTAATTCCTCTCTTCCCCTCACTGCTTTCCCATTTATTCTCCCCCTTCCTCTTCTAGGGAAGAAAGAAATTATCAACACATTAAGACATTATTTCTTAAAAAATACTGAGTTTCTAGAGTTTGTTCTTTATTCTTGTCCAGTAAATTTTGGAACCATGTTTGTACTTTAATGTTTTAGCTTGAATAGTCCTTGCACAGTCTGAGTAATCAAGGAAAACTGCTGTATATTTGGGCAGTTTATTAAAGCATGTAGTTAGTATATTATGAATTCTCGAAGCCAATTTTATATAGCATAGCCAGCCTATGTTTTTGCTTGGCATTGACATGAGTAAAATATCATTGTAACTGTTTTGCTAAGATCTTTTGAAACTACAGTGTCCAAATGCCAATTAAATGCTTAAAGATAGTTGTAGAAATATTCAAATTATACAAATAACTTCAAAATGTGTGCTCCATACTCTCTGTAATAAAATGTGTGTCATTCACAATCCTAGAAACAATTAGGTAGTTTAAAAAAAAAGCTTAAAAAAAAAGAGAGTTGGTTTTGACTCTTCTTTTTCCATCAAATTGCCATACAGTATAACTAGAATTAATAAATTTACAAATGGATTTTAATTTTAAAGATCAAAATATTTCTTCACTTTTGCATTTCTTAATGCTAGTGTACATTAAACATACTGATTATACAAGTAGTATATGTATTAGGTAATAAGCTAACAGTGCTCAGAGTAGCACTTGCAGACCCTGTGTTAGATTTTTCTTGTGTCTTTGCTCTTTCTGCTTTATCTTGTTTGCTGTTCACATCTCGTAGTCCTCACTGGTTTTTACTTCATATTTTTCTATTTTCGTCAGGATTTCAAAACTGTAGTTGTTGCTTCTTACCTGGTTTTTATTTTAATTGAAAAAAATTCAATGTGACTCATTAGCAAATGCTTTTTTGGTTTTTACTGAACTGATAATCTGCTTTGCTTTTGTTGTTTCATGGATGGATTCCAAATAAGAGATTTTATTTAATAAAGTTTTCTTTAATTTTATAATTGTTCTCTTAACTGTTCTTTACTTAAGAGTATTAAAAATGTTCCAGTGTCCACTAATCCAGAACAATGTATTTCTCCTTGCAACATCCCAAATGAGGAGAGGCTGCCAATAAACCACTCAGAATTTTTCAAGTGCATACTTCTGAAATTAGCATGTTCTCAGTGTGAACTTTGTTTTAGGTAATTGTAGTTGTGTGTATCTAGGAAAGTAAAGCTGAAAATATCCGTAGTTGATCATGTTAACCACTTGGAAATTGGAAGTTTAAGTTTGTTCACTCTGCCCTTTCATTCTCCATTTCCTGTTGTATTCTGGCAAGGTAGTAGC